TACAATGGAAAGGAAAAATTACAAGAATGAAAATGAGCCCAATATTGGGTACCAAAAGCCCAAAGGCCCATGAAGCCCAAAACTAGGCCCAACAAGCCTAAAACCTAAAATGCTACTCTATGTGGTCCAAAATACAAGACCAAAATATATGATACCTATACTAACATGATGTATACAAAACATATGAAAATAGCTATAACAAAATATGGCCCATGAAAAGTTCAACTTGGGCCTTCCCAGGCCCATCAGGCCCATTGGGCCCTGACTGGCCCAAACCTTCATGTCTAGCCAACTCCTCTTGGATCTTTGAGTGTGTCACCTCTTGCATTCCCAAGTATGATTCCATCAGTATGGATTAAAAATGTTCGTGTAACATATATAAATCTATATGACAATTCACTTTGTCTTGTAATTTTTGATTCATGCATCTATTCATATGAATCAATCTTCATTGTATGTTTCAGGTATTCTATGAACTAGCATTTTCTTCTTAGGTCTTGCTTATATCTTGATTGAATTTATTAATTTTCGATCAAAAAAAATTCTTAAACAAAAGTGTATGATTAAGTGTTTTTTCAATTTTTTATTCCATGTAATTTTGTCTAGTTGTTTTTTATTAGTCCTTATATGTCATTACTTCCATTGTGTGCTTTTTTCTTTAGAATCTTTGAAACATTACTCTCTATTTTAGTGTAATAAACATTGTTGATTGTACCTTATACAAATCTTAGAAGTACTCATTATATGAATCGTATGCATATTATTAGATCTAGCATGTTCTAGTATCATATTTTTTTGTTAACTTTACTTACTAACTCTTATTTAGCAATTTAAGGCCAACAAATCCTTGAATATTAATTTGTGATTTAATTGAACATTAAAACTTGATTAGAAAGTGTGAAAAAAATAATAAAAAGAAATGTAGAAAATCAAGAGAAAACTATAACCAAAACTAGCCTTAAATATCTTTACAACTTTTCTAATACACTCACACTTTTTCATAGCTTTTTCTCCACTACTACTAAGCTATTTGTTCCTAGTTTTATCCTCTAATTTTAGTGCTTAGATTCATTTTTTTAAAAAAAAAAAAAAAAAAAAAAAAAAGAAAGAGCCAAAAGTGTAACGACCCGCCACGGTCTCTACACTTAGTGGAATCGAACTACAACTAATTAACTTAAGAAAATATTTAACTGGATAACACATACATACAGACATATATATAAGGATCAAAATAACTAAGTTTCTGTATACAAAATAAAACACCATATATGTACAGTCATCCCAAAAAAATAATATTTCCTAGTGTCGGTCAAGCACAAACAAAACCGTTACCCAAAATGGTAACTCTAACACGAGGCTCAAACTTCCCGTCTCACAGCAGTCACCTCTACTCCAAGCTATCTCTGACTTGCTCTCATACCAAGTATGATCATTGCAGTCCCACCAAGCAAGAAAAGAAGCAATAAGAAATAATGAAGAATGATTTTATTATAATCATAGAGTAAACATGTGCCCTATCGAGGCTCGGGGGTCGGGCTGTCCCCGAGGAGTAATCTCTAATAGTCATCAGGTCTATACATCCCTATCGGAAGGAGAAAAACACTTGACGACGACGACCGGCCTTAACGCTTGTGAACCGGCCTTCCTAAAGATCTGGCTTAAAGAACGTCGAGAAGGATCTTG